GGGAGGGCTGCGACGGGAACACGCCTCTGCCCCGCCTCCCACCGCGTTGTCTGCGGCATCGCAGGCGAGATTTCAAATCGCACTCCTCGGTTCGCCAGGGTATTGGAAGAAAGAAGCAAAAGCCCCGTTACAGAATAGCGACATTCCTTAGGCTGCTGTAGGAAAGTACCGCAGAGAAGGACACAGACACGCAGAGGTGCTGTGCCAAGCCGGCCTCGCCCGCTCCTTCAGCAGCAAGTCAACAGCAGTAACGACAACACAGCACACGCTCCTCTATTCCTCATCAGTAAACCTCTGTCTCCTCATAAACTTACAGCATCGTTAGTACAGCATCAGCTTTAAACTGCCTTTGCTTCTGCCTTGTTGTGAAGCCTGCCCCCCCTTGCTGTCCCTGCTCCTGTTGCCGTGAATTGGGGTTAGCAGAGGGACAGAGCCGCCAGCCCAGGCTTGTTTCAACAGCTCCTGTGACCAGCAGCTCTACAACCATCTGCCCTGTTTCTGCTCAGCACTTCTAGCAGTCCGCACAGGAATTCCTAGCAAACGGCCGTCGAGGAAGACACAGAAGACGGTCTAAAGTACAACTGAGCATCCGACTGCTTAACCACATAAGTAATCCACCAGCCATTTAAAATTCATTAGGTATCTTTGCATTCAACCTAGAGTCTCCGTCAGAATTTAGTAGCTGCTCAAAAATGCTTGGTACTGGAAATGGTATAGTACCTCAGCAGCTAAGCAAGATGTGCTCAGTGAAGACAGATTTATTAAGCATAATTAGACAGGAATGCAAGATAGCAAAGCTGAACTTAGCACTGAGAATGGAGGCAAAGGTAGTTTCATGGCAAAACAAAGCAGGGGAAGGATGACAGATCCCTCCTTGGCATAATGCCGAGTCAGCACAGGTCAGCACACTTGCTCCAGAAGGAGAAGGCCTCAGCAGAAAAGAGTCAAAAATTTCACCTACTCCAACAAACACCTTAGCTAGTAATTATTGAACTGCTTAAGGGAAGCTACACTCCCGAAAAGTGATATAGCCCAGAGTCACAGGTTAAAGAGCACGAAAGCATGTGATTCTACATAGCCTAATGGTTGGACTGTCAAGCCTTGCTGCAAGGAGGAAGAAACCTGGGCTGATGGTATGCCTCCAGTGATGTCTGCTCTTTAGCCGGTACCAGCCTGAGACACAATTCACCAGCCTGAGCACAGAGCTCCGACTACATTACTGACAGGAGAGCTCTTCCAATTTCTGTAGTGCAAAAAGGTAGTAGAAAAACCTTTCTATTGAGATGAGTGGTAGCAGGACTGCCACTAGAGGGACTGTCATGGGTTAGTGAAAGCCATTACTACAGCAACATTGTTGACTACAGCAACAAGGAAAATAAGAGTGAAAAAAATTGGCATTTGCCTAAAACACATTCAAAAGAAAAAAATAACCCAATTCCAAAAGGTTACCTGCAGCAGTATCTTCCCTGGCGCTCTGTCCTGAATCAACTGACCCAAACAAAGTGTCTTCCAGCAGTGATGCCCTTTCAGTATCATATCCTTCTTCAGCTTCTCTATGATCTGAGAAGTTGGTCTCTTCATGCTCAGGTGGAACCTTAATATCCCTCTCCATCTTCTCTATATGCTGTTCTGGCCTCTTATCTTCAAGCTGCTGAAATTCTTCATTGCTGTTATCAATGGCATCTGGGTTTCCAATGGAAAGTCTGTCATGTTCAGCCTCTTTTGCACCATCTGTGACTGACAGGGAGACATGTATTAAGCTCTGAGCTTATGTGTATTTCTTATCTGCAGCTGTCTCCAGTGAAACACTGCATCTGACAAAGCTTTCTTGACACTTTTAAAACACTTCAGCTTGTGTATTGCTTCATATATATATTCTCAATCAACTTTAAGTAACATCTAATAAAATGTTTATGTACGCAAGGTATCAACCACTGACCTTGCAATGAAATAGTGCAAGGTGAAATATTTTCATTGTTCATGACTTTATCAGAAATCACATACATAACAAGCACTACTGTAAAAGAAGCCTTGCAAAGAGCCTACCTTACCACCTTATACATTAAACAAAACCAACAAGTTTGCAGCAGACTCTACGGCTGCTTCTTTCCTCCCCAAAAGATCTGTTTCTTCTGTACTTCTACCGAGGCACTTTTATGAATATGGGAAAAAACATGATGACAGGGACACGTGAGATTTTAGGTGCATGGATTTGGTGCCTGACATTTGCATTAATCACTGGACCACTCATAAATAGGTCCTAGCTAGTTCAGAGAAAGACTGCTCTAAACCTTTCAGAAAATTCAGCACACTGGTAAAGTGAATCCCTGTTCCTTGAGAGGATGAGGTATAGGCGTGACCCGAATGGCTCCTTGCAGCCATGGCCATCCATGGATCCCACTTATCTTACACAGAACCTGGCCCGAAAGCACAGACATGCTGTGCTCAAGGTTTCCTCTCAGGATTTGTCCCTGGACCATCCATCACAATGCCAAAAATATACATTCAAAATAAAATCCCAGCACATTCCACAGGGCCTCTTTCAATTTTGCTGCCTCAATCTCTTCTCAAAGCTTCTCTGGGTTACATAGTGTTGCCCGGGAGAGGTTTTGCTTCTGGCTCATCTATTTATTAACTGGTTTAACATCCTACCTTGAAGGTGCAGTTGATCATCTTCCTGTTCTGGAATAGATGCAAGTGGGACACTCTCACTAGCAGATGAATATTTACTCCTTAAAGAATATATTAATTCTTGAATATCATCCATCAGTGCACTCTCCTCATCATACAAATCCATCTCTTTCACCACCTCCTCTTTATTTTCTGCCACTCTGGAATCCAGAACTCTTCCCACAACATCCATAATGCTCGATTCCGAGAACTCAAGTATCTGGTCCAAAGCTTTTTCTGTATCATCATTATTGTGGCTTGCCTTCCGAGCAAGCTCCATCTCCGTCTTCATGTCATGAAACATGGCTTCTATCCTAACCACATGTTGAAGCCCAAGGTACTTTTGTAGACGTATCACACGTTTTTCATCAAGAAAATCTCTCGTTATTGTGAGTCGCTTCACAGACTCACTGAAGTCTGGCACAGTGTCATCTGCAGCTGCTGAACTGTCAGCAGGACTGGGGAAATGTGCAGATTGCTGGTGGTCATTTCTCGTGTGCTCTAAATTTTGCACCTCTTTTGAGTGTCTCTGTGAAATGCCCTCTGGGAAATGATCTTTCCTTTGGTGAAAGCCATTGTTGTCTTCCATGTCAGGAGACTGGAAATTATGTTCTTCCACAGCTGATGGGTCCTCAGCTTCGGAAGACTCCTCATCTTCCATGACACTTTCCACCGCATCCAATTTAGCATCTTTGCTTACAGGTACATCAGCCTCTTTCCTCCCAGTCTCACTCGCATCTTGCATGCCGAGCATTTTTTTTGCCTCGTTAGAAAATGAGTTTGTTTGCTTTCCTGATTCGTAAGTAGGATTTGTGATTCCTGAAACAGCTTCACTTGGTACTTCTGATTCAGCGTTTGCACTTTTAAGATTTAGTGTATCACCCTGTATATTTGCAGCCTTTGCTTGTGACAGCTTTGCACTTGCAGCATTCTCATCTTCCAGCAGCTCTTCCTCTACTTGTTTCAAGACAGGGTCATCCTCAGCATCCAGCTCTTCAGATTGCAATTCTGGTCTTACCATTCTTTCTTCAGCTAAATTTGTGCCAAGATTTCTGTCTGACTCCATGTCCTCAGTACGAGCAGTTCCTTGCTGAGTGAGATTCTCTCTATTAGCATTCTGCATAGTGCTTTTTGATTTTTCTTCAGGGGAACTTTTCTCAATGCTTTCTTCAAATACTGTCATATTGCCAAGATTTCTTGAAAGCTCTTCTTTCACATCTGAATACTCAGTCTCATTTTCCCATGACCTAGGTTGCTCAACAGCTCCTCTATGGCTTAGGTCTCTCTCCCCTGCAGGGGTTTCTTTCATGTTCCTCCTTTTTATTTCAAGGTCCTTGTTAAGAGAGGGGGTGGGTTTCTGGTTTTCATGATCCGTCTCCCCTGTTTGTTTCAAATCTTCCCATCTTAGAAGTTCTTTCTCCGCAGCAGGCATGCCATACTCCAGTTTCTCTTTCAAGAGGTCACTATCTCCTAAGTCACTCGGAGTCATTTTTACCTCTTCCACCTGTTTGACTGGAACATCAGGAGAAGGCTTGATCTCAGCTCTTCCTTTCTCCTTTGTTTTCTCCCATAACTTTTTGTGCTTTAAATCACTTTCCAAGACCACTTCCAAGGTGTCATCCTCAAAGATTTTTTCATCTTTCTCTATTGGATCAAGCAGCACTCTTTCAGGACTTTTGTTGATATCACCAACAGATGGTTTTAGAGCATCTTGCTTGCTTTTAACAAGTGATTCAGAATTCAGATCATCTCCTGGACTAGGCAAAACATGAGAATCAGGCACAGCTGTACTCTTCAGCTCTTCAGTATGTGACTCAGTTTCATCAACCGTCAGCTGCTCTTCAAACTGTTCAGTTTTGTTTGCTTTGTCTTGTGAACCCAGATCGCCTGTATCTACAGGTTCCTTTCTAAGCAATTCTTTGGAGAGATCCTCAGGTTGAGTTGTTGCTGGGGCTTCTCTTTTACTGATTAACATTGCCTCATCCTGTTTCTCTTTTGTTTGTTTAGATTCAGATCTGTCCACGCTTATACTGTCACCTGATTTCTTGCTCCTACTGAGGGCATCTTTAAGAATTAATGCATCTGATTCAGGTTCTTCATTGTCTCTTTGGTTATTTAGCTCTGTAGCACCCTTGGCATTTTCATCAGGTTTCTGGTTTTGTGACTCAATGTCATCATTTTCATCATCATCTAAATCTGCTGGGAATGTAATTTCATCCTCTGCTGCAAAAGACAGCAAAGGGATTTCTTCAGATTGACCTGCAAAGTCTGGCTCCTCTGCATCATGAGCATTAATGCTCAAATCTTCACTAAAATCATCTTCCAGTGATGTAACAAGGCGAGTCACTTCATCATCTGATACAACAGCATCAGCAGTTGAGCCAAATTTTGTTTTCAAGTTCACAGAGAGCTCTCTGTTTAAAAGTGTATAGGCATTGACTTCTTCATTCTCTTTGTCAAGTTGACTGGTTTCACCCTGAGGAATACTAGTGTTTTTGGTATTTTCACTTTCTAGCCCTTTTAGCTTCCCATGTAGCATTCCTGTTAAGTGCTCATGTGCAATTTGATCTCCCTGAGAGTTTTCTTTGTGACTAATGACACTGGAGTCTTCCCCAGTATTTTCAGTTCCTTCTGTAAGGGAAGTGTCTGCTTCCTCTGGCATGGTGAGGGCTTCCTTGTCTTCTGTGCTGAGCTCAAGATTGTCTGCATCCAAAGCATCAAGGGACTTCACTGTATCAATCTGTTCAATCTCCTCATCCTTTTCAATTCCTTCAGCTGGTTTTGTCCTTGGGTCACTTGATGCAATATCCCCTTCATTTCCTATCGTCTCTTTCAACGACTTCAAAAGCTCATCCACATTATAATTATCAAAATCATCCCTTCCACCATCGAAGCAAACAAAGTCCACTTCCTGAAACAAAAAACAATATTTAGTCACAAATATTTTTTTCAGTAATAAGACCAAATCCATTTGGTTGGTTAGAAATGCAGCAGCAAAGTAAATTAATATTAATTGTGCGGAATTAAACCCTTGAGTCCTTAGCCAAAACTCTCTTTGAAATCACTGGAAATTTTGCCAAAAGACTTCTAAAAACCTGAATAAAAAGCTTAGGGATTAGACCAATCAGAGATCTCCTAGTAAGGAACTGGAAAGTCAGCAGTGGAGTTGACAATATTACACTTTACTCATCACGTATATCATCTGTTGCTGAATGCTGGCGAGGAGAAGAAAACAAACGTTTCTAAGCTTGTTCATCAAATCTCTTTTAGCTGGTTTCTCCTCAAATGACCAAAGTCTTCCAAGCAGGAGATGCCTGTCACACAATCTCTGAAAAATAAATCAAGCAGCAGTGCAAGCCACTGAACACGATTTCATAAGGGTCTGAAGCTGCATCCACGAAAAAGCCTTACTCAAACAATTCCAGAGTTACTAGCTATTTGTTCATGAAAGCCATTTATATTCAAAGGACCAATTTTAAAATCAAAAGGCTAAACATATCAGGTTTTGTTTGTTTCTGATACCACTTTAGAATTCAAAGGTTTGGGAAAAAAAACCAATTCTGCATACGTAACAAACAGCTTATGTGTGAGCCAGCTAGCAAAACTTCTAGAGCTCAATCCAAACAGATTTCGTTAAAAGGATATCAGAATACTCAAGAAAAAGAAAGAAAGATCAGTGCCCACATTTTGGGCTGATGCTTACAAACCCATCCACATACACGGCTGCACAAACATTCCACCCCCCGATACTTACGCGCATATTTGCACTTACATAGCTGCTTACTAACAAAAGGTAACTGAGGATCACTGATATTCTCATCCTCCGCAAGGATTTTATTGAATACCAAGATAAGAAACAGTAAGAAGCCTAATTAAAAATTAACAAGGAAAGACTTACATCTGTTGGTAATTCTAGCTCCTCATTGGAATAATTATGATTTATTTCAAGTAAATCCTTTGGAAAATATCCAAAATCGCTTCCAACCTGTCAGAAAACAAAAGCACAAGCAAACAAAATGCCATAAAGATGCTCCTGAAATCATCTGAGTGTATCAAAATCCTAATTACAAACACTAGTAACAAACACATCAAACTCTTTCAAGTATTTCTAAATGAAGTTTTAGCACAAGTGAATAAAAGAAAAAGATCATCAATACCTAGTTTATGCAAGAGTTTTCACTGAGATTTTATACTTACATTTCACAACACCCCTGTGATGTTGGTAAGTTTTACTGTTCATGTTTTAAAGCCTGACTTATAACATTATTAGGAGTTGGGAGTGAAGCCCAGGCATTCTGACTCACGTGCTTTAACTGCTGTTGCACGCTCTCACTAGCACCATCTATGCCTCAAGTATTTTCTCAAGTAGTAAGCAGAAGAGGATCTTTGACTAATAAGATTTACATCCAAACGCAATATTATAGCCCAAAATATTCTCACTTTATAGCTTAATGGAAAAAAAAAAAATCCTAAAGCAGATTTTAGGAAAACGCAAAATTGTACCGGAGATAATAATCTATTTTAAAATCTGCGTGGAAAACGTGCCCCCTCTGCAAATCCACTGTTGCTCTTCAGTGACTAATACAGGCAAAAATCAGTTGCAGATGGCTATTTTTCAAGCAAGTCAGCATGTTAAGCCAAGGCAAACAGTGGAAGACAAGAATCTCTCTTATCACTCACCAGATAAGATCTACACAGTAATGCTCTCACTTGAGAGTTCTGACAACAGCTGTCAAGAAGCCAATATTAATAGCATGCTATCACTATGCAGATTAGATAATCTGTGCAATTAGAGCCTCGTGGACACACCTAGAACGGCACAGAGTTCCTAGACAACCAAAATATTCAGAGAGGGGAAGACGCATTAGTCATTTCCTCAATGTTTTGTTATTTGATGAAGATGACAATTGCCAATTTTCTTGAAAAGCTTGTTTGGGAAGAGGACTCAGTTAAAAATCAATTTCAAAAGAAAATCAGTTATGTCAAAACAACTAGGTGTATATACATATATGTGTGTGTGTATATGTAGTTACACTGACATCACTAAAAAGGGTTAACCTGGGCCTAAGTCTTCTGGATTTACAATGACATTAAAAAAAGAGGAAAGATGTATCCAGTAAAATAGCATGTACTAATACTTTTTAGTTTGTTTTTTTGGTATGCAAGTGAAATAAGCACTGATACATTATAGGGCTTCATTTTTATCTATTTCTCGTTCAACTCTTAGCTTCCAACAGCTGATATATCTAAAGTCAGTTACATATGTAAAAAAAATAAATAAATTTATTACCTCCCACACAGAGGTACTCTTTTACAGAAAAGACATAAAGTATGCAGTTTTATTATTGGGAATTACTGAGAATGGGAAATTAAGCCAGACAAGTCAGATTAAAGCTTATCATTGTGCAATATACTACAGTTTTATTCTAAACTGGCTTGTTCCTCTCTACAAATTTCTAGCCCCATTTTAAATTATCTTTCTGAAAACAAAAGCCAAAGCTTCAAAGTAGCCTCCTTACAGACTAATCTTTGTGACCACCATTGTAATTAGGCATCACAATTTGAAACTCATTTAGTGTAACCCAAGCTGCTGACCACACAAGTCCTCTGCAGTGACCCAGTTTGCCCAATTATGTGGTTCAGGAGCCATATGGGCTCTGCATGCCCAAAATTTTATCTGCTCCTCTTCCTACAAGTCCTCTCTTGTAAGGGAAAAAAAATGCCTCATTGTGCAAATAAAGGAAACATTCTTCATTCTCTACAGACATGACAGAAAAAAGGCATCAGGAATGGCAAGTAAATTAGGGAGGAAAAAAGCGCATCCTTCATTTCCACTCCCTTCCCAGCGAAAATGCCATGGGTGGACGAAACGGGGAGCTGTGTGTAGAGCATCTGTCCCCATCAGCGCCCACTTGTGACAGCCAGCTGCAGCAGATTCACCAACCATCACTGACCGAGAAGCCAGACCCTCACATCACCCACCGCAGCGACACAAAACGGATAGCTGGGGAAGATGTTCAAATCTTTTTAATCTTAAAGCCCACGTCCCTAAAGCACGGACATCACAGGTACCTAAACCCACAGAACACTGGTCAAAGGGAGTTGGTTTGGTCTGCCCTTGCTGAACGCTGGCATTGTTAAAAGAACCACAGAAACAAAAGGAAAAAAATTCCCCGATCCCCTGGGTCCTTCAGACATACTCTTTTCCCGTCTTAACTTTTTATTACTCTATGTATCTGGGAAAAAAAAAACAACCAAACAAACAACCAACCAAACTAACCACTCAAAAAAGCCACCATCTGCAGCCATGTCCATTTCTTGTGAGGCCAGAAATAGTTTTCCGAACCTTGAATCAAAGGAAAAGTTCAGCCCTTTGCCCTAAGATAAAATAACAATCTTCTGCAGCAACAATTTAAATTGTCTTTGCTGAAATGTTTTATTACAAAGCAGAAGGTTTTACTTGGAATTATCTGAAGTAGTTTTGGAGTTCTGGACCCTGCTAAAGATGAAGGCAGAGTGCAGGAGAAATGCATAGGAGGAAAGTCTACATAACAACTTGATGGTATAAACAATGCGAGCTGGATGCTGAATAGGAGACTACAGGACACAGTGCACTGGAAAATGAGAATGCAAGCTCTATGGTTCACCTTTTGGCTTTGGGGAAAAAAAAAAATCAAGTATTTTCCTCAAACCAACTTATTAATGAAATAAAATCACTAACATAAAATAAATAAAATCACTATTAAATACTAGTCATAGAACATGGTCCAAGCATTTGGCCTTGCTTTATTAATGAGGGTTAGGCATCTCTGCTAAAAGCTGCATGACACATATTGTAGCTCAATGAGAGTTCTACAAGCAATAAAGTTTACAAGACTGCAGTCATAAAATAAAGGATCTGTTTTGTTAAAATACAGAATGTTTGCTGACACAGGGGAAAAAATAAACAAAACAACACAACAATGGCTTGAAAAGGGTGGAGTGAATTAGAAAAGCAAAGACAAATAAAGCCCAGACCCAACTGTCATAGATTTTTCAGCCTTGTTGAAAGGCTCCGTTTTTATCAGATCATCTTCCTTCAGGTCAGAAATACTGTTGTACTTCTGCTGGCTCCTCAAAATCGATTTGAGGATTAGAGCCCATATTTACAACTTGTTTGAAATAAGCCCCAGGTTGCAGTAGCTGAAGCTTTTCACACACACATTCCCCTAGCCTCTGCCCCCATCTGAAGCCCAGAATACCAGTTATCCCTTGATTTCAGAGTTTCAATTATGCCCTAACAAATAATTTCCCTAAAAAAACCTTCGGGGAACAGAAAAAGGCAGTAGAGTAGATGCGTGGGATCAAGGCATACACACAAGCACACAAGGTCATGCAAAGAGATCCCAAAGGGGCTGTGCCAGAAGGTAACATGCCTTCAGTTGGAATTTCTTTGGTAATTTCTTTGATCACAGACCTCCCTAGGTAACCTGTTTTTAATTAGCAAGCAAGAGCCTCCCCCTAACTCCAAGACTGCACACAGCAGGCACGGCTGGTCTGCATAAATCAAGTTGCCCAGCTGAATCTGGCGTGGGAAGGCGGGCTGTGCCAGACAGACCCCAGCGCTATCTGCAAGTCAGGGACATGGGGTTGGATGTGCCAGTGTCCTCCTCAAAATGCAAGGGCAGGTGCCTCTGGCCCCGCCACAGCGTTTGCACACTGGTTGTTGCCATATTATGACTAATGCAAAAGCAGTCAGTCCAACCGGGGAATAAAATAAATAAATATTATAGCCACCAACTGAAAGGAATTAGTCCATCATCACTGTCCTAAGAGGAATATAGAAGACAGTGCAACACAATTAAAAAAATTAGAACAAATAAAATGGAGCTTTGCATTTCTTTTAGAGCTGCTAACTTCTGCTTTTACTTGCTAAACTCAAAGCAAACATCCTTTTAACTTGGAGACACACCTAACTGTTGCTATCAGTGAATAGTTAAACTGAATATTAACTCAACAATTACCTTAAACCCCCTGTCTGTTCTTGCAGCCTGCGTTACACCTTGTTAGAAGACGCAAAATTGGCCCCACGCTGTTATTCCGGGTCTCAAGAACTGGCAGCCCTGGAAACCTGTACCCGCTAATTAACCAGATTATTTATGGTACAGTACATGTCAGAAGGGAATTACCAGCATGATACAATTATAAACTCTTCTTTAATCCTGTGCTGCAGTTTTCTGCTCCTTTCTGTATCATTCTAATTGGATTCAGCTCCTGCTGAGAGCTTGGCTGTCCACACCCAGCCTGAACTGGTTAGAGAAAGTGATCCATCCTGCTTTTCACTAAAGCACTAGAACCACAGTCGGCACCCAGGTGTGGTTTCGAGCAGCCTAGGCCACTGTCACAGGCAGCAGAAAACAGTTTTCCCTTGTAGAAAAACAGAGTTAAGAATAAAAGTTGAAGTAAATGATTTGGACACAAAAAGGTATGTAACGGAAGCACACGAGGAGGGAGTAATAGGTACGAGGTCTAAGCAACCTCCAGACTGTCAACATTTTTAAGAGAAGCCTACAAAAATTGCTTTTCCTCCAGGGTATCTCAGTTCTCCTTCTGGCAGGCAAATAAGGTGGTTATCATGAAAACTAAGAAGAGTTTTGTATGAAATAACTGCAACTACAGGGATCCTCCTTTCCCATTAACCCCCTCTTGATTGCCCAAAGAAAGACAAGGCCACTACTCTGCAAGCTGCTACCATGTGTTACTGAAGCTGAAAGAGACACAGACCTTAGTGCTTTTTATTTTTACTACTTTCCTTGATTCTACATGCAGCTTAGATAAAAAAAGGAAAGACAGCAGCTGAATATTAGGAAGAAATATTAGGATTGCAGCACATTCACAGAATGATTTTTAGCAGGATTACACAGAACACAGGATGAAACCAAGTCAGGGTAAATCAAGTGCAGACTTAAGCATTCCTAGATGGGAAGGGAGGCTCAGCTTCCAGGCAGAATTGTTAGGTACTATTTGCAGTGCTACAAGGGGAGGTTTTTGACACAACAGCAGTTTTCTAACCGTTTTTAGTTCGCATTAGCATTCCCCATTTTTCACAGCACTTAATGCCTTAGGTTTGATCAAACCACATCCCATTTCACACTGGTCTCAGGACAAAATGGCATTCATTATGTTACTTAGCTATGTTCAAACCCCTAACTCCTCTCCCACAAGGCAAAAGGAAGGAGAAAAAACAAAACCAAAAGATTTCCAAGTGAAGAAGACTAAACAGAAGAAATGCTTTATCATACTTACACTTCCAGCCCAAAGCTCGGTTGATTTTCCTATTAGTTTGTAATATACATACACGGCTTCTCCCTTCTTAAAATTTACAAAGCGACAATCTGGACCTTTAAAATCCTGCACTGCCTTCCCTCGGCACATTACCACTGTTCAAAAAAAAAAACAAACAAACAAGATTACTTTAATAGAAATAATAAAAACTGTTTCATTAGAAGGGGCTTTGGTTAACTGGCAGTAAGCAAGGCCTCCCCACATGCACCAGTTTCCTATTTTGCAGATTGGGTCAAGAGGCAAGAACTTAACTGAAAGTATCACTAAATTAAGAGATTATATTAAAAAAAGGCAAGCTCACTGATCAAGGCAGGGATTTGACAAAGCGCTTGAGAGTTACATTTCAGAAGTGTGCTGTGAAGCTAATTAATCACATTAAATAAGACGAACTGAAAGATGACATCTATGTCCTAACAAATGAGTCCTGAAATCATTCAGCGCACACTCAACACCCTCAGAGTAGGTTTATTTGCGGGGGGAACAGAACCAGCCCGACCCACGGAGCTGCGGGCATCGGGAAACTCGCTCGGGCGGAGAACGACGCGCACGAGCGCCGCGTTTCCATTTCCCAATTTCCGTGCCAGAACCGGCGGAAGGAGGGAGCTGGAGGCGGCGGGGGGGAGGTTTGGGAAATGCCCCCGTGAAGCCAGAGACGCTTCCACCTTTTCCCGTAATAACTGCCCGGGGCGCGAGGGGACACCCGTCGGCGAACCTGCTGCCCCCCCCGGGCTGGTGTCCCCCCCG